ATGTGGTTTGCTTCTTCTTTCTTATCATACATGTATCTATTATCTTTATCTCTCCTCTTTTGTGTGTGTGTTTGTTCCTTATTTGTAACACCTGTAATCTCAGCCTGTGAGGACCGGTGCAGGCTGAGTGAGGGGGATACAACATCCCAGCAGAAAGACGGACCGGGTCAATTGAATATATTCCTCCCCACTCGGGAATCAGACTCGGATCTTCTGGATGCGACAACAATGCACTTCACCACAACACAACAGACGCTGCTTTGTTGCTGTAGTTGTTGTTGGTGTAGTTGTTGTTGTATTTGTTGTTGTTGTTGATGTTATAGTTGTTGTTGAAGGTGACGTTCCAGTTGTTATAAAGTTGTTGTCGTAGTTGCTGTTGTTGTAGTTGTTGTTGCTGAGATGCAGTTTACACCCAGTTCCAGGACAACAGCCACATTTTGACGGGAGAAGACAGGGACAAATGTAACAGCCAGAAGACAAACACTGAGCAGATAGGGACAAATGTAACAGCCAGAAGAAAGAAAAAGACTGAGCAGACGAGACCCCCAGAGAGAGTCAAACAGTCAAATAAACAAAACCAGCACACAAACGACACAAAACATTCACTTAAAAAGAAACAAGTAGTCAAAACTTCTGTCAAATTGAAAATAATTTAATTTCTTCAATAAATAAGACTAAAATTACATACTATATCGATCGTACATTCAGAGCCACATTCAAAAATACAAGTAGCAATTAAATATTGATCATACAAAACATCATGGAAGGTTGTTTTTTTCCCTCCATGTCATCTGAACGCACTGTGACGTGCTTCAAACGTATAAATATCCTTCCTTCATCAGTCTCCCCTCTCATTTCATCCACAAGATCGCCAGTCAAACAAGTGGAGATCGAATTTGAAATGTTGATATCTCGCGCAGTCACACCCGGTCTGTCGGCTCTCTGAATCATAGCATGCTGTATGTATCATGTATAATGTTGAAATGGAAAAATGTCAACGCTGCACTTTTTAAAAGCCAGGTGACTGAGAATTTTTACGGGGAAATGATTGATGAGTTTTAAATAAATAAGTTCATACCTTTTTTAAAAATGCACTCTGCAATGATCATCCAGAACATAATAATCTCTCTCACATTTCTCATTTTCTTATGTTATCATATGTGTCCATACACTTCTGTTTGTGCCACGCACTGTCCATGACAGGATCAAAATAAAAAAAAGAAAAGAAAGAAATTAAGCGCCTAACAAAACATACTAAATCTAGAAGCAGTCTTTCCTGGGCTACGATATCTGCTTTCGTCATGTCTGGCAGTCTTTCCTGGGCTACGATATCTGCTTTCGTCATGTCTGGCTACTAATCTCATTTCTTACTCAGCTAGTCGTACAAAATGGGGGAGAAAAAAGAAATTGTTTTTTTTTGTTTCAAAGTCAAAGATTCCTGAACTATTCAAGCTGTGCATTTACAACTAAATAATACTTGAAGAAGTCAAACTTAAATTAAATCTAGTCAATATATTTTTTAAAAATTAATATTACTTTAAAGATTAAAATGAAAGAAACTTGAGTATTAACAATTAAAAGAGACAGAAGCATTCTGGCCGTTAAAAACATTCAGTCTCGCTTGCTTCAACTTTCCGACACTTACTGGATTTGCAAAATTACACAAAGGCATGGAATGTGTTTGATCTGTGAAATGACCTGATCAGCTTTCAGAACTCCTTACATCATCTGTCACATACTTTTGCGATAAAAATAAGTTTGATAAAAAAATGTCTGATGCAGAATTCTCCAGTGAACTAAACGATACTCATGAAGGTTCCTCCCTCCCGTCACGTATTTGTGTTGTGTTGTGTGTGTGTGCGCAGATGTGTGCGGGAAGGAGGAATGGCCTATGATCAATGCTTTTTGAGTTTTTATTCCTTTGTCAATCTCAATAAATTAAAAGTCAACACAGTATTTACAACATCTTTACAGAGACCTCAGGCATTCGTACACTGAGCTAAGAAATAGGTTACCGAAAAACAAACAAACATCAAAAAACACACATGCACTCGATAAACTCCAAAGTAAAATACATGATGCATGACATCATGTTTTTGACCCATTCACTCCTAAAGCCCAACATCTAGAGGGAAAAAAAAGAATAAAGATGTGAGACAACTTTAGTTATCACAAAACTACCAAAAAGCAAAAATTGCATCGCCAAGTGAAGCTAGAAAAAGAAAGAAAACCATAGAAAAAAGATTGTACAGTGTGTGTGACCCCGGCCTCCGGTCACCGTCTGATCTACGGCCGGAAAAGAAAACACGACAACTTTCCCCAACTTTCTCCTACTGCCTGACTACACCTCTACCTCTCCTCCCACTTCGCTTTCGCAATAAAACTTTCGTCCTTCGCCAACACACATCATACAAACATACATACATACATACACGCATACATGCATGCATACACAATGAAACTCTCAAGTATCTTAAAAAAGTCACTGTTGAAATTATGTCTTCCTCATGACCAGCAGAGACTCCTTGTCTGCTCTCAGAAGATCATGTAGGCACCACTGCATGCATGACGAGTTAATTTAGCAAGTTGCGTTGCTTTCGCACAGTGTTGATGTTGTTATCATAATAATAATAGAAAAAGTAATAAATAAGAGAAGAGAGAGAAATGGCAGTTTATCCTTTCAAGTATTACATTACAGGAATAATAAATTAGAGTTACAATAATTATCATTCACAAAGTGTCTTACTTTGATACATCAAAAATATATATAATATATGACAATGTGTCCGCGGCACGCAGCCAACAACGAGATCAGAGAACAGTTAAAAAGTATTAACAAACAGAAAAATTAAAAAAGATATCCAAATTCTTTTGCTTTAAAAAAAAAAAAAAAGTGGAAAATTAGACCACTGCACAAATACTTTAAAACTACAAACTCATCGTGCATGTCATCAGAGACTGACTGACTGACTGACTGACTGCATTACTGGAGAGGTTTTATACCATCTCAATAATAAGGTCATTGCATAATGCTTCTACATTAAAATTTGACGGTCAGTTCAAACAGTTGTCCAGTTTACTGACCACTGCCTCTATTTGCAGTAACCTTTTCTTCTCTCAACAGAGCTACTTCGCAGTAAACTTTTACATCTTCCCATTCTTTCACTTGATGGAGTTATCTATCGTTAATGCTGTTGCAATAAAATAACCAAAAAAAACAAAAAACGTGTCAAACAAAACTTTGGAAATTTTATGTGTATGCAAAAACTGTCATTCTCCCCACTAGTTTGACTTTGAAGATGAAAGGCATTATAAGAATTCAACTTAAAAGAAGGAAAATTTCTTTACACATGATAAAAAGCCCCTCAGATTTTCATTTGAACTGAAAAGATAACAAAACTTAATAATGAGTTTCTCTCAAGGAGAATGGCCTGAGGATGATATTGCTTCAAGAAAATGCAGGAGCAAGACGATGATACATGAGACCTTCAGTCGACGGAGATTCCCAAAGTCACATGACCAGGAAGAGCTCTCGACCGACCCCCGAGTCATTATTTATTAACACTTTGAAAGCCATCTGTGGTCCGTTTTGTTTTGTGCAGCAGAATGTACACCAACCAGTGACACAATTACCGCAGCACACACAAGCAACCCGTATGCCAAGTCTGTTTCAAAAAGTACAACGGTGAACTGCACCAAACACAGCATAATATTATAAGAAGAACTCAGCGGTCGTAATAGACTTCGGAAGCAGGAGTTGGAACTGACAACCAACCGTCTTCCCATCAGCTAGTAGTTAACAATTTCCTCTATACTATGAGCCTACTGAAAAGCTATGCAGGAAAAGACAATAATTCACACCATAAGACGAGCACTAGGTTTTCTAATTAAAACAAGAATTCTTATCTCTGTCTACTTTCATTACGTAAGATATCCATTCCATTTCTTCTACTTCTACCTTTCTGGCTCCAAATTTCAACCTAAAGAAAGAAAAAAAAGAAAAAAAAAGAAAAGGGACCTGTTGAGCAGGTAGGTGTAAATCAAACAGTTCTTCGCATCATCTCAAAAACACGTACATTTGCAAACCCTGAGTTCCTGTACAACATAACTCTCTATATATTCTCATGTCAACGTAGACTGCTACGAGTGGGCAGTAGTCAGACGTCGGATGAAGAAATGGAACTGTTCCCAAAGTCCGGCATCATCGACTGACAGTCGAGCCAATCATCGGCACACATCAGTATCTCCCACAGGCGGAGGGATACGCCCACCACGAAGCCGGCAATCAAATTGTTCAGTCAGTCTGAGTAACTACTGAGCACAAGTCTTTCAGTTGGAGAAATATCTCCGCGCTGCTGGATGGAGTCAACTAAACTGCGCCACAAAAGGGGGACCTTCGCACAGCTGGTCCTTTACAATAATTGTTCATTCTGACCTAAATATTGTTGTTGTTGTTGTTGTTCTACTTGATTTCTGTGAAGAAAATTCCCACGCCAGCCGAAGCTTTTAACTGTTCCGTCTCACGATATCGTACGATGTAACAGTACTTCTTCTATGAGTCCTCTATCAGACGGCCGGACGTATGACGCGTGGCGTCTCCAGTCCTTTGCGATGTCGTGTGCGAGCACTAAACTGCTCCATGAAGAGATCTTTATTTTGTTTGAGTGTTTGTCTTCCCTTTGGGACGCCAAGCAACGACAACGGACGATATTTTCCAGTCCACTCCGATGCTGTGTGTAGTGTACTAAACCGCTCGACGAAGAAGAGAAGTTTTTTGTACTTCTTCCCCCTCACAGCAGCAGCAAATACACCAACAACAACAACCATGACGATGATGATGATGACAGCGAAGACGACGGACGATGACGCACGCACGCACACACGCACGTACGCCCACTCAGAAAGACCAGCCATCAGCGCTGACTCAGTCGGAGATGTTCTGCAGCAGCTCTTTGAGCAGCACTTCCATGTCGGTGTTCTTGCTGATGTGCTTACAGAACAGCGTCTCCAGCATCTTGCTGTTGGTCCCGTACAGCGAGGGCAGGCACATGAGCAGGCGTGAGTAGTGCATCACGTCGGCCGGACGCATGACGCGCACGTGCTGCTGCAGCAGCTGCTGGACCACTGAGTTGAGCTGGTCAATGCTCTGGGGGCAGGACAGACCCACGTAACCTGGAGATGACAGAAGGGAAGGGGAGAGACCGTGAGACTGGGCTGTCGCATTCAAATTTCTCATCATAGGTTTCATCGAAAATAACACCACGTCATATAAACATAATATCACATAAAACAATATCGCATCACAAGAGGCAACATAATGGATTGTAACTTTTTAAAAAAAGCATAACTAACATTCAATAATGAATCACCTCC